GGGAGGGCGAGCGGGAAGGAGGCAAGCTCTGATCAGCGGGACGAGAGATCCACTATCCTGGTTCGAACTCACATTGCCGCAGTGTATTTTCAGAGTTGTGAAAGCAATGAGAACCGGAATCATATAGCCAAAGATGCAAGTCTTATTCGCTTGTAGATTTCGCAACAGAACCTAACACTGCAAGGAGCGTAGGGAAGCTTAGCAGGAAGGGAGCGCAATGAGCTGATATCTCATGTTGCGAGGCGGAGCGAGCTTCAAAGTTTTGCGCTCACATCAAACTGTGCGTTCAAGTGCACAGAGGGACAGCCATGGCTGTGCTGGCACCACACATGCTGAAGCATACACTTTAGATTAGTTGTAACATACACGTGATGCCACATTTGTATGCATGGGCAGCCCACCGATCTAATCGCGGGACGGAACACCAGAGGCTTCAGTCTGCTGGATTCTCTTAGGGTTTAGGGTTTAGGGCCCAAGCCACAAACGTGACGTTTAATCGCTGAGTTCGGAGCGTCGTGTTGCGGGTGATGCCTGCCCAATATGTTTTGCTGCTCCGATGCCCAGGATTCGAACTGAAAGCTTTCACTGCTGCTGTCTTGCGAGATGAGCTGCGTCTCAGAGCCTCTATCCCTCGACTCTCGGATGCCCGAATTCCGCGATAGGTCAGTCATGTAGGGGCCTTAATAATTNNATTAGACTAGGGTTTTGGGGCCCACTATACTAGAATTATAATGAGGAACCCCCAAAATAGTATTGGTAATTATTTAGGCCCCTATATTACCGGGTTTGCTGTCCTGCCTCCAATGAACAGCTTCGTGGGCCTCGTGACCGAAGTCCCTGCCAGCAGATTCAATCGCTCCATTTTCTGAACCTCTGGGAGCAAGCCCACCACTCATTCCTGACGGTGTTGCTGCTGTGTTGCTGCAGCAACTAATATAGGGGCCTTAGTAATTCGAATGGGGTTTTGGTGTATTTTATATTATGACTATAACTGTACTAAGGAACCCTGAGAATAGTATTGGTAATCATTTAAGCCCCTATATCATTGTGCTGTTATTGCTCCGAGGACGGAACACGGCTTCGAGTCTCGGCTGCTGCCCAGGAACCCTCCGGGCCTTAATAATTTGGGTGTTGGGGCCCCTTATTACTATAAATAGAACAAGGAGCCCCTCAAAAAAAACAGGTAATTATTTAGGCCCCTACATTAGTCGGCATACATGCACAAAAAACTACGTATGTACATGTAGCGAGAGGGTCGCAGTCTTGCGCAGTCAGTAGCAACCAGAACTAGCAAAGGAAGAAAACACTTTCATGCGTCACCAATAGAAAACCGGCCTAAACCCCAAACTGTATAGACCCTATAACTCTAAACCATAAAAGCCCCGGCTAACACTATGAACCATATAAGTGCCATATAAACCCTAGAAAATACACCTAAACCCTAAACCCTAAACCATATAAGCCTTAAGAACCTATAGGTTTAACGGTTTGGAGCTCAGGGTCTCTTTCGTGGTTGCGGGAACCCCAGAACCCCAGGCATCCAAGAAGTGAGTAGCAAGGATTAGGGTTTAGGCTTTAGGCTTTAGGGTTTTAGGATTTAAGGTTTAGGATTTTGGGTTTAGGGTTTAGGGTTTAGGGTTGAGAACTTTCAAGGTAAGACCCTAAAACCCTACACCCTAAACCCCGAACCCTGAAGCTATAACGCTAAACCGTAAAACCCTAAAACCCCAAACCCTGAAGCTCTAAATGTAGAGCCCCAAAGCCCCCCGAAAACTGAAGCTCTAAACCCAAAGCCCCAAAAACCCACAACCCTCAGCCGCCAAAGCTGCAAGGCAACTTGCCTGGTTGCACGGCTCCAGCAGCGAGAGGCATCATTCCTGGGCTTGAACTGGCTGGGTCTAAGGGTCCATGCATCCATAGTTTGGGGCTTAGGGGGTTTAGGGTTTAGGGTTTAGGGTTTAGGGTTTAGGGTTTAGGGTTTAGGGTTTAGGGTTTAGGATTTACGGCATCTGCGCGGCTTCCTTTGAGGGTACTCTAAGCTTCGACAAGAGGGTCCCCTTTAAGGGTCCTCTAGGGTTCTATAATAGGGTCCCTTTTAAGGGGTTCCTTCAGGGTTGCATGTGGCGTAGAAGGATTTAGGGTTTAGGGTATATAAGCCTTTAAAGCAAAGTGTATGAAGAAACCATAACAACCCTGACGGTTTAGTTCTTGTTGAATGTGGTTTAGGGTTTAGGGTAGGAGCCCTAAAAAGCTAGGTTTGTTTCGGCTACAGATAGTTGTGAGTTCTGCGGAGTTCAAAGAAGAAGAAGAAGCAGGACCCGAGAGTTCCTAAAGCCCGCTTAAAACCTGCAGTAGTAGCAACTCTAAGAAACTTTTTGAGTCTATATAAGGCTTAGGGTTTAGGGTATAGGGTTCAGGGTTCAGGTTTTAGGGTTCAGGGTTCAGGGTTTAGGGTTTAGGGCTCAAGGTTGAGGGGGCTGAGTTGAAAAATGGCATGAAGCTAACCCTAAACCCTAAACCCCTAAACCCTAAGCCCTTAAACCCCAAACCCTAAACCCCAAGCCCTTAAACCCTAAACCCTACCTAAACCGACGGAACTTAGGAAGAGACCCGAGCTCGCTCGGGGAAACTTCAGCGCCTTGGGCTCGCACACTTCCGAAGCTCAACAAGCGACAAACAATATGGGTAGCTCTCTAAATTAGGGTCCCTTTTTGGGTCCCAGATATAGTACGGCACCCTCATAAAAAAAAAAAAAAAACCCAAAAGGGACCCTATTCTCGAGAACTCCCCATATCAGAGCCTTAATAGTTAGAATAGGATTTTGGGCTGCTCCGTTGCATATTTATAATAGGGAACCCTAAGGATAATATTGGCAATTATGTAGACCCCTACATTAATTAAGGGTTCAGGGTTTATAGGGTTTACGGGAACAAGCCAGGAAACCTGGAATCCACCTCGTAAGCCCTCCAGTCTCCGGTGGAATTCAGGGGCCTTAGGATCTAGAAGAGAGCCTAAACTCTAAACCATAAATTTTGGGTTTAAGCTTTAGGGTTTAGGGGTTTAGGGGTTTAGGGCTTAAGGGTATAGTCGTCATTTGAAATGAAGAAAGATGATAAGTAGCAACAAGGAATACGACTCCTAATCATTCAGAACCCCATCTGCCTAAACCCTAAACCCCAAACCCTAAGCCCTAAACCCTAAACCCTAAACCCTAAACCCTAAACCCTAAGCCCTAAACCCTAAACCGTAGTAAAGCTGTGCTCATAGAAACCCAGAGGTTCCACCCACATACTGCCATCATGGAGTTAGGCGCCAATGGAACTTCCTTCTAACATCCTGCTAATAGTACTAATAGTACTAGAAAGAATGATCATAATAAGAGTAATAATAATCACATTTATAATAATAGTAATAATCAGATATTATTAGTATTGTTCATACCATTATTCTGATTATAAATCTGTATATATATATATATATGCATGCAGCACCCTGAACCCTAAACCCTAAACCGCAACTTTCCTGCCGAAGCGCCGGAGCTCGGAAAGGCAGTTCTTTCCCGGCGGCGGCTCTCTTTAACACTGGCGGAGAAAGAAAAGGCCGCGGGGGGGCGAGCAAGGAAGCTTAGGGCCTGTTGCTTAGGGTTTAGGGTTTAGGGTTTGGGAGTTTAGGGTTTAGGGTTTAGGGGTTTGGGGGTTTAGGGGTTTGGGGTTTGGGATTTTAGGGTTTAGGGTTTAGGGGTTTAGGGTTTGGGAGTTTTGGGTTTAGGGGCTTAGGTTTTCTGGTTTAGGGGTTTGGGGGTTTTGGGGTTTAGGTTTTGGGAGTTTAGGGTTTCGGGGATACTTGGAGGATCATGGGACTTAGTTTTTCAGGCTATAAATAAGGTAGCTATACTTTTAAGAAATCATAACCCCAGTTAAGGTAGTTACAACCTTACTTACTAAGTAGACAGCCCCACAACCCTAAACTCCAAACCCTTAAACCCCAAAACCCCGAAACATCCCCTCAGCTCTAAACCCCCAAACTCTTGAACCCCTGAGCCCCCAAACCTCACAAACCCTAAGAGGAGGATCGACCTCAAAAGCCTC